TGGAAGACGCTTGAGTTCGCTGTGTTGAGTTGTTTTGTATCTAGGCCGGGTGCAGCGGACATGCACCCTGCGTTCAAGAGCAAAGTATTAGCAAAATGCTCACTAGATCCTATTCATCCTCTAGTGGAGGGTGTCCCTGCCTGAAGCAGGGGGGTTGGAACTAGATGTTCTTTAAGGTCCCTTCCAACCCAAACCGTTCTATGATTCTGTGATTTACCTCAGTGTGTGAGTGGCACCTGTGGCAAGGAGCCCAGTGTGAAAAGGTGATGATATACACGTCTTCCACAGGGGAGCTAGTGGTAATAAACGCGAAAGAAAACATCACACTTTGTTTTGTTTTCAGCGATAGAAGACAGTGATTCATAGTTGAAAGCAGATTGGTATCTTAAAACTGCAACAGGATGTAGTTGCAACTGTGACTTTTTTTAATGCAATGCAACTATTGGCAAGCAAATACACGGTATCTGTTCAGATGAAATGGAGTAATGTTTCAGAGTTTTGAGTTTGGGTGGTTTTCCTAATACCTCTATGCTATTTTTTTCTTTGTTTCAGGGTAACCAACCAAAGAAGTTATGAATATCAACTGTGGTCTAAAGTTGCCAGGCAGGAACTGTATTTTCTTTCATTTGGCTTCTTTGACCAAGCAGGGGAAGTGTAGTAACCTCTATAGGTCTTACGTGGGATATTGCCGAACTCAAGTCAGTTGTACACGAGATAAATGCCAAAGGCTGGATTTGAGTGGAAATACTAGAAACTGTTTTTTGGCTGGAAGCCCTGACTCCTATAGAAATTTCATCAGTAAAGGGCTGAGGTGTCTTTTGAATGCCCCAAATACAGAAGTATACAAGAATGGACCCCACGCTTCGGGAAGGTTTTGCTTCCAGTCTTCTCAGCCTTTGGGGGTGAAGATCCCATCCCTCCAGAACAGCTTTGTAGGGCAACTCCCACATCATTTTTCTGCTTGGAACATTCAGATCATCAGGTTTTTTCGCACGTCACCATCATTTCAGGCTGCACCAGTTCCTCTTTTCTGGATTATTGTTAAGCCAGCTCAGAAATTATTTGCTATCATTCTTGGCAGGTAAAATACTCTCTTACTTCCTCTCTTGGTGTAAGACCTCATTATGCAAAGATGTGTGCATGAGTTTCTGGAGAATGGTAGGTGTATTTGTATTGTTTTCATGTCTGTGCAAAATTTTATAGGACTGGGGTCTAGACTGACAGTTTGCTCACCAATAAGTTGTTTTCATTATCAGAGGTTTTAGATGTATCTTTTGCTCTTCTCATTCTCATTTACATGTGGTAGAGGGAGATGAACGAAGACACTAAGGGGCATTCCTTCTTCTCCTGTGGGAGGGAAGAAATGGAGTGGAGTAGAAGCCAGAGTATAACCTTCCATAAACTCTTATGTGAGGCGACACTGTGATAGAGAATACAACAAGGGCAGACACTAACAAATTCCTTTTTAACTATGTCCTAAATTGACACTGTTTATATCTTACAGGAGCATAAGAAATTGGTGGAAAGCACTTCCTGCTAATAAACGGGAACTTTTTAAAGAAAGTGCAAGGAAAAATAAATGGAAAATACTCCTGGGTGTCAGTAGCTTAGGAGTTTTATTTGTCATGTTTTATTTTACTCACTTGGAGGAGACACCCATCACTGGGCGCGCTCGACTGTTGGTGTTTGGAAAAGAGCATTTTAGGGAACTGTCACAGATGGAATATGATATGGTAAGATTTAAAAAACATATCAAAATACTCCGAAATTGTTAATGCTTTTTTTAGTGATGAAATAGCCCAGTTAATGAGATGGGCAAACAAACCTAGTGATGTCCTAATAAGTTTTGAATTTCACGCTCAGAACCCTGCAGAGCATCCCCATCAGTCACTCCTTCCTCGTGTCCCCATCCTTTTTAAGAGTTCCCTTTCCATCAGCAAACCATTCTGCGACACATGATGGTTAAAGAGCACATTCTATGTATGTAGCAAACATTTCTAACTGTTATTGTAATATAACAAGAAATATAAGAGTCTGGTAGAAGCAGTAAAACCATAGCTAATAGGTACAAGCACAGATCTGTCTCATTTTCTGTGCTGATTTGCGTATTCTTTGGTACTTGTTTAAGGTCTTCTCTTCTAAGCTGTCACTTTCTAAGATAATACTCCCCACCTGCATTCAATTCTACTTCTTTTTTTTTTTTCATTGGATCACTCATTTTCCTTTAATTGCTTTCTTTTAAACTGTCCATTGCACTAATTGCTGTAACTTTGAGTTCTGTGATTTTCTGTTCTAAAGTCAGTGAAACCTGATAATCTGGCCATATACAAATGTCCCTGTATTCCGTCTGACAGAGAATGGAAGATAAGAACATAGCGAATGAAATACAAGGATATATTCAAATTACATCTTTTGTATAAATTTGCCCACCTTACAAATTACAACAGAAATACACAGATACAGAGAAATTATAAATTCAAATGGAAATTCAGGAAGGTATAGAAAGGTTTGCCAAGTTGTGATGCCAAGCTTCACTGTGTATTAGGAAAATATCAGATACAGGAGGCTGTAGGACCACGTTTATACTATCTTATTTTTGATCTGTGGTCAGTTTACTTCCTTTTAAGTTTATTAATCCTTATTAATCCTTAACTGTCAGGTCTGAAAGCCTGAATCTAATATATTGGCTTTGGCTATATGAAAGAAAAATGTATTAAAACTTAAAATTAGGTAGGGTGTGTGTAGCCGCTAAATTAGTTATATATTATAGCAATTAGTTATTTACTGTGTGTTTGTTTTGCATGGCAATCAGTGAAATTTTTTTTTTCAGTGGATGGAAGAATTCAAAACTAAAATGTTACCTGAGACAGATGCACGTTATCAGGTTGTGGAGAGAGTTGTTGGTCATTTATCGGCAAGCAATAAGGACATCCCACAGGTCTCGGCTCTCGAGTGGGTTATCCATGTGGTAGACGAACCAGGTGTAAATGCTTTTGTGCTTCCAGTAAGTTGAACTCAATTCAAAAATTATTTGTAATATTGAAACAGCATTTTATTTATGTGTGTTTTACTTAATTTTTACTCTCTTTTTTCTTTGCAGAATGGCCAAGTGTTTGTTTTCACTGGATTGCTAAATGCAGTTTCTGATATTCATCAGCTGTCTTTCATTTTGGGACATGAAATAGCTCATGCTGTGCTGGAACATGCAGTAAGTATTTAAAGAAAGCTGTCTAAAACTCTTAAATGAATTCTCATTACTTTAATTAAGATTTTTTTCCTATCACTACCAACCAAAGTTTCAGTGTGACTCTCTAATGAAAAATTGAGTTTGAAATGAGAGTATTCTGATACAGTATATCCTCATTACTCATGTAGTACTTAACTGTCAGAAGTCCTGTAGTAGTCAGTGTTAGCACAAAGTCTGCCAGTGCTTTTTCATAACTGTACGGATGGATTATGGCTCACTATTAACAGTCATTTAGAACTTGGGCTGCAGACGCCTCTGCTCCTGTAGCATAGACGTGAGGAACTAGAGGCACTCAGCAACTTGGTTTGTTACTCCTAGACTCATTAATATCTACAGAAGTGGATCTACTTTAATAAATTATTCTAAAATACATGATATTTTTATTGTAGTAGCACATGGGTTTAGAATGCCAAGTTCTAGAATGCCTGGAGCTGGATTCTGCATTTACAGATGATTGCTTTCACAGACTTAATTTTTCCATATCCTAATATGGATGTGCTGAAATTAGTAGTTCTTTGCCATTTGAGCAGGATGGATGTAATAATTTTCTTGTGCTTTGTAGGTCCAACTATGAAAAAAGAGGATGCTATAGAAATACAGCTCATATTGTTCTAGATTGAGGTGATTTGCTGGAAAGTGCTTCTTTGCCTCCAAATTGATTTCTTTCTGTGCATGTCATTTTAAAAAATGGTATTCATTACCTAGCCATCAGTTTGAGAAGGCATAACGAGAAGCTTGCAAAGATAAAGATCTTGCTAAAATTGCAAAACTAATCTGGAAATGGGTAAATACACTTTAAAGGCGGTGGAAATACAGGAAGATAGATTTACTGCATATTGTATGATTTTTGGATGAGCAACAGTTCACATCATAGTTTCTTGGGCTCATTTGAGCCAACTAACTTGTTAAACTTCTAAAAAAAATATTACTACTATAAAAAAGAACTTGCATTGTTTGTATGGAACCTGTGTCACCCAACTGGCATAGAGAAAAGTATTGCATGATCTGGCTTGTAAGTGCTCAGATCAATTTGTTGCATGTCAAATAGAGCTCTGAAAACCAGAAGAATTTCAATTTCTTTCTTCAGGTTTTCTTAGTTTCTGAAATTAAAGGAATGCAACAGAAAATAAAAAAATAAGTATTTTATGCCTAGTGTCTCCTTATCCTATTAGTGTTCCTGTCTAAATGTCTATCTCTTCTCAAATTAATTAAACTTTTAGGGGTTTTTTATAGATTTTTTTTATTCCAACTGAGGTGTTTCATGGCCTCTTTACTAAAGAACTCAGTCTGCGTGCTGCCGTCATCTTATCTCAAGCTTTGAATCTCTCAAATTGGGAGATAGCCAAAATGTATTTCCAGCTGTATTTATGCAGTTGGTGTGGATTCTAGACTGAAAGTACCTTGTATTCAACTGGATTTTTCTTTTGCCAGCAGGCAAACTTGTGCTTGCTTTGTTCCTGTGGCTGCATAGAAGAAAAAGTAATGTTTTTTACAGTGTTTCCAAATTCTATTATGTTCTAAAGAAATGTCAGACAGTAAGGAATGAAAATGGGACAATTTCTGTTTGCAGGCAGAGAAAGCCAGCCTGGTTCACTTCTTGGATTTTCTATCACTCATCTTTCTCGCTATGATTTGGGCCATCTGTCCCCGGGATAGTTTGGCAGTTATTGGCCAGTGGATTCAGAGCAAGTTGCAGGAGGTAAGACTGACATTTTGTATTATCTTTCCTGAGTTCCATGGAAAAACATTTTTAATCTTGGGGAGATAGTACCACTAAATAGTATGTTTGGGGAAAAAGGCAGGAGGAGAAATATTATAAGCAAAAGTTAGTATTTGAGTATGTTTTTGAATGAAATATGTTATAAATTTGTATCTGCTTTAGTTGATATATATTTTCATTTGTCTTCTTCAAGAACTTTAGATTTCCCTAAATGACTGGATTAGCTGAGCAGGTTCTGAATACTTGCTTGACAGTTAAGTTAGATGATTGTCATTTTGAAATGTAGCTCACCCTTTAAAGTTGTATATGTTGAAATGCTGTGGTTTTATTTTGAGTAGTTGTTAAATTGTTTCTAAACCAAATAAAATACAGGGAATTCTTTAAATACATTGATAGTGATAAGAAGGGTTTCCAAGATAAAAAAAATTGAGAATCTAAACACTCTTTTAAAGTATAAACCATGCTATAATAAAACTTACTGAAATAATCTTTTCAGACACCATATATTCCAATAAAGTAAAATTCAGAGGCTTTGTGGTGTCATTTTTCTTCAGCAGTCTAACTTACTCTTTGCCTCTGGACTGTTACTGATCCATTTCTTCTTAAAAAAAGTGGAATTTTGTTTTTAAAGAAATTTTGCTTACATGATAAAACTTGAATCTGAATTAAGTGAAAGAGCTCTTTGGTTTCTTTGACTTCTTTTGATGCTTTTCCTGAGATTTCCTCCCCATTCCTCAAAAACATAAAACATAACCAATCTATTTTGGTAGTTCTTATGCTAATGGATAGATGTGTGGATTCTGAACATAAATTATCTCTAAAGAGCTTGGATATTTGTACAAGGAGCTAAGAAACCAATTCATTGATGAATGCTAGCCAGCATTTTGAAGAGCTGAATTTGGAAAAAGAAAGTGTGACTCAATCCTGAGACTGCTCATAATTTAGACAGCAAGATTTTACTCCCTGTCAGCATCTTTTCTCTCTTCTAGGCTAACTGCAACTGATATTTTGGCATCATGGATTGGAGTTGTGCTTTAGATTGCAAATGGAATCTGGGTTTAAGCTCATAGTCCTAGTGTGATATGGAAAAGATCTATCATGTAAGAGATACTGTACAGTAATATCCTCTTTTGAAACTCTGATCAAACTCATCTTCAGTTACATTAAACATATCCTTATGTAATGTAGAATAAATAAGTGATTAATACTGGCAAAGCTTTCATCCCACATACAAAAGATGCTGAATAGAAATTTTTGTTTCTGTTAGTCACCCAGGAGTGCAATATCTATTTGTTTCCGCTGTAGGAATAGAAAACTGCTTGCCTGTGTAAACTTTTGTTCCAGTTAGTGCTTTGGGTAGTCCTGTTGCCTGTTACCAGTTTCATTTCCCTGTCTGAGAAATGTTTAATAATTAAACTAATAGTTTATCTGGCTAACTGGGAAATCGTGCTTCAGGAATATATGACAGACTAGCCAGGGATATCTTTGCCGTTCAGTGAATATATGCACTCCAGTAGACCCAGAGGACTTTTCAAGGCAATAGAGATATATATACTCCACTTCAAGTAATGACTTTGTCATCAGGGGATTTAAAAAATATATTTATAATTGCAATGTTTGAGGTCTGTAAGGAAACGAAGAATTTAGAAAGTGACCTCACCTATGCTTACTTATAAACCAGCGTATTTGGCTTAACAAACCTTGTAGAGGATCAGCTTTGGTTGGCTTTTATTTATGACCTAGTAAAGAAAAACTATCAGTACTACTTTGGAAAGAAGCAAAAATTTACAGATGGCTTTATGTACTGGAGGGATTGGACCACTTCTTTGGTGCTCTTAATTTCTATCTGTTTTGTCTTTTTTTTTTTTTTTTCCTTTCGTCTGGAACTTATGAGGAGGACATATTTTTATAACCAGATAAAGAGCTGGTTAAACCATTTTATCTTTGCTAACCTTGCACATCCCCGTTCTTCAGTTGATATTTCCTAACTGATGCCTAGACAAGAATGTTGTGATGTGTTCCTTTATCTCTGCAGGAGCAGGCTGGTTTAAGAAGTCCTGATTTGCATTTGCTGTAACTTGATATATTAGGCAAGGCTGCCCAAATCTACATGAATTATATATGCCAGAAGATCATGAGTTATATGACTAAATAACCATTTGAAAAAACTACCACTGTCTCTTAATGTGTGTTAATACAATGTCATACCCTAGAAAAAAGGGAGAGGAGTTAGTCAGATTTATGTCTTCTAGTTTGATTTCCCAAGGGCAATTTACAACTTGTGTTGAGGGATAATCATGACAAAAGCGTGATTTCTGCATGAAAATGTTTATGGCTACATTCCATACTGTGGGCTGTTTACCATACCAAATAGATCATACCAGGTTTAAAGACAGTCATTATAAAAGTTTAAGGGAGCCACTGGAATTTTTTACATATAGTAAAAAAATCCTAATGCCAATTTTTACATACATAAAAAAATCTTAATGAAAATAAAAGTGAAGTGAAAAAATTCTAGCTTACAGTTGGCATTGACCCTCTGGTTGCTGCAAAATGCTGTGAGACTGGCTGATGAGAGGGCCTGTGAAAATATGTATCATTTGAATTAATTTCCAGTGAATACAGGATCAATGAGTTACATTTAATGTAATCTTTAATGCCATTATGAAAATTAATACTGATCACATGCAATGTGAACATGACAAACACTTTTTCTCATGAGAAGGTTAGAAAAATAGCTACAATGCTCTAGCTTTGTACACATTCAAAACCAAGAAACAGAGATTTGATGTGCTTCTTTGCAGTTTATGTTTGATAGACCGTACAGCAGAACATTGGAGGCTGAAGCTGATAAAGTGGGACTTCAGTTTGCAGCAAAGGTAACTAAAATTGGTTTGTTTTATTAGCAATTTACCAGATAGTTTTCATTTTCTATTATAATCAAAGGGAGTTTCACACTTCATGCGGAGGTAAGCTGTGTGTGGGAGGGTTCCCAAATTTTTAAAGATATGTAGATTAAAGGAGTAATGGGAAATAAACCAGTTTGTAGGAAATAACAAAATCATTCTGGCTAAATTGGATGTAGTAAAATTGAAGTTTATGAAGTTATGCATTATTAACTGCACAGTATACTTTCTATGTAGTTTATTACTATTAGAAGAAAAAGCTATGTATTTATAAAGAGGAGAATGCCCAGTAGTGAACTCCTGTAAGTGGGATATATTTAATTCTATGTAAAGATATAAATTGCCCTTTAGATTTTTGTTTCACTTAGTTTCCATCTATTTTGAGAAGTTCTGAGGAATGCTTCTCAAATTGTAGGGCATCTAAGATATTTTGATCTATAATATCTCTTCTTATAACAATACAGTATAATTTAAGAACTTTTTGATATTGCACTTATATTTTCTGTGATTGCTGATAATTATGAAGTATAGCAGTATTGTTCTAGTATTTAAAGATTTAGTCTAAATACAGCCATAAAATCCATGCGGCTTTGCTAAAGTAGACAAAGATTTGGTCAGAAACTACTCAGCATTTTTTTTAATAATTTGTTTTTTCAGTCACTTTTTTTGTCCCTGTGGATTTTACTTCTAAAAGAAACTAAAACAACATTTTCATTTCTAGCTAAGTGCAATAGAGCTAGGTAAGTGTTAGATAAGTGTGAGAGCAGCACCATCTAGTGTTAATATTTCATAAGGAAAATTTCCTTTTCTTAATAATTATTAATGTTTCTTCAAGGAAGAGTTTTTAAAATTAACTTTGATTCTGGAATTGAAACCATATTTGTACTTTAAAGTCGTCTAAGGGAATAATACAATCCATGGTTAAAAAAAAACCCAAAAGGTAATTGCTATGTGGGTGCTTATCGCTTTGTAATACCGAAGATGTGGGGCCATACCAGAAAGAAACAAGCAAAGTGGTATGTCAGCATTTCTCTGCTTGTGCAGCTGATTTTTTTTAATAATAATTTTAAGAAATAAATTCAAAGGATAAAGCACAACTTCTGTATTTCAGGGTGGGGGGGGAAAGGGAAAATAGTTTTCCTACCTTCGAAGTACTCATCTCTTTTTCTGTTAAACAAATGAAAATTAATGTAAGAAATCTTGTTCTTTTTTTTCCCCTTCAGTTAAATGCAAATATAAAGGAGTCTGTTGGTGATACACAAATATCATTCTTAAATTTAGTGTTCCATGACTTTCTATGGTTAAATATATACTTCTATGGAGAGAAATAGGAATTCTGTAGAATTGCTTTTTTAATGTGTTGTGGATTATACATATCACCCTTGAAAAAGGCAGTGTAATCACTTACAGAAAAGCCTTTGCAGTTCATTTTTAGAGATATTTAAGTATGAATTATTATCACTTTATATTTTTGACTCTCAACTTCTTCCTGTAAATGTGCCTAAACATGTGGAGATCATTAATTTGTTCTTCTGTTGTACTGTGTCTAGAAAATGTAACTTAGAATAAGCAGCTGAGGGTTTTTTTAAAGAAGACGTACATGCTGGAAATTGTGACTGTCTTTTTCTCCTAAATTGTCTAATTCAAGTGTAAGTGGAATTACATAGATGTTAAAAGGAACAAATCCAGTGTCTTACCTGGATGAGTTTTTTACTGCATTTAGATATTTTAGAATAGCCTTTTCCTGTCAGGTATGAGGGGGGGATCATCTAAACAGGCTTTAGAGATTTAAAATTTGTGTTTTGTAATTCAATATCCATTAGATTGTGTATTGTATTACTTTAAAAATATAGTGGTGTATACATTTCCTTTCTGTTTTCAGGCTTGTGTGGATGTCCGAGCAAGCAGTGTATTTTGGCAACAAATGGAGTTAGCAGAAACCATTCAAGGGCAGCCCAAGTTACCAGAGTGGCTCTCCACTCACCCTTCTCATGAAAACAGAGCTGAGCACTTAGATCGCCTTATCCCAGAGGTGAGCAGAGTTGAAGGAAATGTGTCTTTTTGTCTTAGGAAGGTTGCCAGAATTAGTTTGGTATTGATTCACGAGCTACTTTGGTATTGATTCACAATCTAGTCTTTTAGCGTTATGCTTATCTTTCTCTTTATCCTTACAGAAATTTTCTGTTACAAAGCTCTGAACCTTAAAGGTTCTATTAAATGAGGAAAAATTAAGATAGCACATGTAAAATGTAATTGTATTCTAGGGTGGGGTTTTTTTTTTCTGATTTCTCATCAAAGTGTAGTATTTTTGCTTTTGAATGGCATTCCTGGTATAGATGTGATGGTGTCACAGGTCTCATCCCTTCTTTTCTGTTTTTTGCCATTTTGGAAGCCAATTTTTAAGTCAAATCACTAAACTGTCTTGACTTCTCTTGCTTTGGTAGCTAGCCATAGGCTGTCAAACAGAGAACGCTCCATCCTATTCTGTCTCTCTCACTGATGTGGGATTGAATACACCTCGAGTAACTATGCTTCAGAAGAATGTCAGATCCTCAGTAGAAGATTTCTTAATAGTCCTAGTTATGATAGGTCTCTGTAGATTTTACAGCCAGCTTTTTTCTTCACATCTCTGTTCCGTCACATTAGGGAGCAAATTTTACCCCACTTCAAGGAACTGGAGCTAATTCACTCAATTGCCCATCAATCTGCAGTCTTTTCTCTGTTCTTTCTTTCAGATTTCCACTCAGAGGAGTGCCAAGTGGATAGCTATTTGGGGATTCTCTTAATTTGATGTGTTACTCGCTGGTAGCTTAAGGACAGAGAACTGTTCCAAGTTCAGTAATCTTAGTTGTTTACTATTTCTTTAAATAGAAGGGGTTTTAACCACAGAAAAATAACATGGATTGGTTTTGCCTCAGTTTTTCTTTTTAAAATACAGTGTTAAAGCACTTCACAACAGCACTATTTTTTTCAGCAAGCTAAACTGTGTTTGGGAATTCCCATTCTTATAACCAAGTAATTTCTTCTTCCTCCTTTTTTTTTTTTTTTTAAACTCTTAGTCACTTTAAGTCTTTCTCAGTTCCAAACTGTAAGACAGTTGAAGATTTACTGTCAGAGGGAGCACTAAAATGTTGAGGTGTTTGCTGATTTCAAAGGAGAAAAAAGATTTTCATTAATCCTTTCATGAGAATGAATGCAGTACATATTCTAAATAATGGCCTAAACCAAAATCAACATTAAGAGTAGGAGACTGGAAACTGGCTAGACTGAATATGTTAAATTAATATACACAAATTCTGTACTCTGCAAAAACAGGTTGTGAGACTATATTGATGGATTTTCTAACACATTAGAGCAGCTGAATGGAAAATGATACTTGTTTTGGAGCCTCAATTTTAGTTAGATGGACCATAAAGGGTTCAGGATCCTTTATTTTAATACAGTTATTGACTGGCTTATAAAGTAGTAATGAAATAAATGACTTATGTTCTACCCCAGGACTGAGCAAATAAGTTAACTAAGCAACTGCGCAGAGCTGGCAGTCATGTTATTTCTGTCTTATCTCTTGTAGTTTAGCAGGTGAAGCAACCGTTGTCTTTTTACAGCTGCTCTCACTTCCAAGAGCAGTGGAGGCTAGGAAATTTTCTTCCAAAAGATAATTGAGGAGGAGATGTTTTCATTTGCCTTTTACCTTAAACATTCTTTGGAGTAGGATGAAAAAGCAGGGGCTGAAGGCTTCCTGTTTTTAACAGAAGTTCACTAGATAAGTGAGATTGATACTACAAAAGTGGAATAAAAATGGAAGAAAGTATGTAGAGGTGTTGTTGGAGGCTTCTTGTCTGAAGCATTGACTCCCCTTCATCTGAGAGCTGCAGCCTTGAAGCTGGATCTCAGGCATTTAATGGGAATCCTAGGGCTTTGCTGTAGTTCAATATCAGCGCATTTTTATTTAATTGTTCACATACTTAAAGCCTTTTAGAACAGTATGTTAACCATATATTAATGGGCATTAGATATTCAGAGCCCAGGGGGAGAAACCAGATTTCAAAAAGGGCCTTTTTATCTCTCTAGTATCTCTCTGTGAAGAAACTGTACTTCTTAAGACTCAGCTTCAGATCCATTGTGAGCATTGTTATGTTTCATATGCTGATGGTTTTGAAGCTGAAATGATTTTGAGAACAATACAATATCCATTATTAGACCAGCTACTGTAGCTGAGGGAAGCAGGGACAAGTTTTTGGACTTCTCAGGTCACACAGATGTTTCTCTACAGACTTCTAAGCAAGTTCACAATAACATGCGATCATATAAAGTGAGAATTTTTCTTCAGGTAATGAAATGGCACGTCTCAATGAGGTGACTTAACAGTCTCAGGAAATGTAAATTCAAGCAGGAATATCACAGGGATTCTCTTTTCACGTAATTAAAAGACAGGGAGCAAATAAAATGAGGTTTAAAGATCTTGCATCTGGTTTTCTGAACAAGTTGGAAGCTACAGCCAAGCTGAGGAATTAGTAAATAAGAGAGGTATAAGCAGTTACAAAATGTTGCTGTCCTGGAACGGAAATAAAAGAAATTAAAAAGATTTACCATGTTTTTAAAGAATTTCCCGCTCACATTTGGTTGTAAACTAGGCAAACAGAATACACTGTTAAATAGGAAACTGAAATCTCCTAGAATTCCTCCATGGAAGGTGGTGAGATGCTCGATGAAGGCCTGTGCATTTTATTTTCAGAAAAAGAAATCCTGAAATAATTTTGTAATATCAGGAAAGATGCTCTTACCATTGTTCTGGAGAGAAAAATTACAGAAGTGTAGTGCCAGAGGGAGGCTATAGGATCTTCTAGTTCATCTCTGAACCTTTTATTTTAATGTTCTCTGACTTGCTGCAGTTTGTCTATCTTTTTTGTAGTATGCTGTTCAAATAGAGCACTATACATCAGCTGAAGCCTCAGCTATACTGAATAAAGCAGAAGGTTATCTACTGAGCCTTGCCTGATACAAAAAATCATCTTGACATGACATTTGCTTTTTTGGCATCATGTTGTTGGCTCATATTCCATTTTTGATTCACTGTAACTCCTGTTTCCCACTCCTTCTTGTGGAAATGCCATGTTGAGATCATTTAGAGAGTAATGCTAAGTTGAGATATGTCACCTCTACTGCTTCTCTTTTGTTTGCTAGGTCAATTAACTTGTCAAAAAAAAAGTTAATTCATTTACTGTGGCAGGACCTGTTCTTGTCAAATTGGCATTTGCTGTTTATTATTTTTATTGAAGTTTGGGTAATTACTGCTTATTCCTCAGTCTGTTGCCTTTTGAATATTGAAGATACATTTATTTTGCTTCCTTTTCAAAAATGGGTCAGTGTATTTCCCCTTTGCTTATGTTGTAAAGGTTACTTCAGATAGTTCTTGTACTAGAATCTACTAATTAAGCCCTATCAATGTGAAAACTTAAAGAAAAATAAGAATAAAAAATGCAGATCTATGTTTCTATCCTCCCTATAAAGTTGTTAAATATTTTGTCACAATTTTTCTTTTCTGTGCCAACAGAAGCAGTGAAAGATTTGAAGTATTAGCATTATATATAAAGTTGCTTTTCTTCTCCGTCAAATAACAAATCTATGCATTCTTTTAATCATCTTTTTACTACTACTTCATTTGTAGAACCTGTTGTCTTCCCTATGTCTGCTAATTGTAATAATTTTGCAACTCAGCATTTCTTATTTTTTTACAATTCCTTTTTTTATTTTTTCCCCTACATGCTTGTGCTATTTCTTAGTTTTTGTCAGAATTGCAAGGTCAGAGCGTAAGTCAGCCCTGCTGAGGTAATCACAGTTAATACACAAGGTATTATAACCCTTGGCCTGGTTTGGAGACGAGAGTGATGTGGCTTTTACACTGAGAGACCTGACAGCCTGAGAGGTAGGATGCACTCCAAAAGACTGTAAGGGGTTGAGATGCGGCAGTTAGCCTGGTACCTGTGACAGTGGTGAAGCATTACTACTGAGAGCTAAAAATTAGTTGTTTCTGTGTTTGTCTCTGCTGGTAGGCTTTGTAGGAAAGCAATGGGATGAGGCGGACCTCCCTAATTCTTCTACCTTCCTCCCTCCCAGAAGGTGCCTGCAATTGTATTGATAAGAAAAACAGCTTCACCTTTGTTACTTAGAAGCAATAGTTTTGATATTTTATCTGAGATCTCCTGAACCAGTAAGCATGCAGGTGGTCTTTATACTGAACAGCAGTACTTCTCTCTTGAGGTTAACCTGAAAAGAACAACATTAAAGTACTCTTAGTTCCCAGGTGAATCTACGTACTCACTCTAGCTAGTTAACCTTGTCTCAGTTCTGTCCATTGTCTTTATTGAGAACACTCTTCACTATAAACAATGAAACATGTTCTTATTATAATATCAATATGCATGTACTTCATTAAGAATGCTTTTACTTGTCCTCTTACCCAAACTGTCAAAAACCAATTTACTTGAGCAATATTAAATTACGGGGTTTGAAGTTGCTAGTGATTTTGAAAGTACAGTACAGCTGACCATGTTGGGCTGTTTTATCTTTCAGGAAAAATTATATTGTAAGCTCTTCAGCCCGTTACTGGCATCTTAATGATGTTACAGAACTACTGGCACAAAACAAAATAGCAGCAGTCAACTGAGCCAGGGAAAGAACACTTTCTAACTGGGGTTGAGTGTGGCATGGCAGTCACAAACGTACATACAAATGCTGCTTTCACGAGAGTGTGAAGTCATAGCTGTCCTTCAGTGAGATGACATGTCAGCATAGCTTTCCATTGTCATAACTGTAGTCTCTTTAATGCCATGTTAGTGATGGTGTTGAATAGGTGCCTTCTACCTCCTGGGACAGCTTTACATCTAGCAAAAGACATCCAGAGGGTAAAAATGTTAACTCCGAAGTACTGTTTTTTACCTTTGCTGTCGTGAGTTTAGTATTTTAGATAAGCGAAACCATGAAAATAGGCCAGGTGCTCTATAGCCAAGAAAAACAGAGATTTAAAATAGCAAAATTAGTTTAAAAGAGGATTACGTTGCCCTTTCTAGGATACAGCCTAAATCTTTATATTTCTGTTTGCCTTGAATAATGCTGCTTGACATAAATGCAGTCTTGCAGCAGCTTATGTTCTGGAAGGGAACAAGAGAAAACTCTTGGTTTGTCATAAATGTCAGTTTAGAAATTAATTGATCACTGAAGCAAAAGAGTGTTCAGCAGTACAGTTACATTTGGTGACTACATGGACGATCATGCCGTAGAAAAACAAATACTGAAAGCTCTATTCGTATTTTTTAGAAGTTAGACGAGGAATATTTGCATGCCTAATCCAGACATGTGTATCCAGAAATTTGAATGTTACATTTCAGCAAGAAACAGCTGGGAAAACTCTTGCAGCATTCCTGGAATGTGTCTTTTTTCCAAAACCAGTTGTTAAATTTAAATTCTGTTTGTTTCTAGCCATTTACAGCATACACTTCATCAGTTCACTGTAGTGAAGTTAGGGAGAAATATGTTTTGGTAGCTCCTAATATAAAGAAATGAGTCAAGAAACTCTGCTCTTCTTTTTTGAAATCTGCTGTAGTAAGATGTTCCCAGTGTCTCCTGTGGAAGAACACGAAATTGTTTCAAAATGATGGGCAAATACTTATGCATAAGTGTACTGGAATATCTGATTTGATATTTCAGCCAAATATAGTGTATATAAAGCAGATTAAAATTTCTGCTGTGTTTTTTAAGTGCACTGGTAGGACTGCTATGAAAACTGTGTTACTTTCTTCTTCCTCTTTAATCCGTCTAGAACAAATGAATCAATCCATGCTTTCTGCTAACAGTCCCTAGTAATGGTCAGGAGGCACCTGGCTACAACTCAGGACAGGTCTGGCCATTACTTTTCAGAAATTCACAATTATAAAGAGAAGTGGCATAAAATATACATTTGAACTTGTTCTCCCATGAGAAGATAAAGCTGGATGTTAATCTGCCCATAGTTTTGTGCTCTTAATTGAGACTAAGATACAGATAATACTGCATAGAAGTGACCATTGATTAGTGCTGAATATCAGGGAAGTTTTTGACTTGGTGTTTTCTTGGTGTTGCATCTTGCAAATCTTGAAAAATTAGTTCTCAGCAGAGGTGTAGAACCCTCTAAAATTCTACATATAATATTTTGCTTTATGATGCATAGGAACTTGCTTTTCTTGATTAGTTTAAATGGGTCTTGTAGGAGAATCCGTGGATACTAGTAGATCTGTATACAACTGCTTGCAAAGTACTGCATTGTACTTTGTTGTGTGGTATCCATTGTTAGCTCTAAAATGAGCTGCCTGTTTTTATGAACTAATTAAAGTATATTCAGCTTCATTACAATGAACACCAACTTGAGCATCCTGTGAAACAGCTGACTTTATACTGTTTTATATCAATGTATGCACAGTGCCTTTGAGACATGAGATTCATCCATTGTCATACCTTTCTCAGATGGATCTGAGAAGGCAGAATGATCTGGGAGAGGAGTGTGCCTGCGCAAATGGGTTTTGATTCTCGTGGAAGTTCTTTGGCTCCTTTGTGCCTCTGTTTTCTAATCTGTAGAATGGAAGCAATGCCATTTACTCAGTGAGCAGGAGTAATTTAAAGTTTGGTCTCTTAGTGGTAGTCTTTTTATTCAGATAAATTTTTACCTTCTAGAGACACTCTTTTCTCAGAACACTTGCAAGCTGTGTATTCAGATGCTTCTTGGAGATGAGATCACTTGTGTAAATGGACCTTAACTATAACTGATCAACCACCTGGATCTCTGTGCTGAATGGTTAAATGTCCGTTATGTTGTTGGAGATTTTCCCCTCCTTTTTTGAGTCAGACATCTATATATAGCTACTTCAATAACAGAACATATCTGGTGAAGTAAATTATTATTCACAGCCCTTTTTTTCTTGATGCAGTCATTTTAATTTACATGTGAATGTGAATTAAAAGGTAAAAGGTACTGATATGAACAGTTCTCACATAAAATAGTTGGAGAACTTCCTATTTATTTATGCCGTACCTTTTAGATCATCCATTCTTTGAGAGAATGTCTGTGAGAAAATTATTTTCAATCTTCATTTTTTCCATTGTTTTATCACATGACTACGTTTCTTCTCAGGAATTCTCAGAAATTTGGTTTCTGTTGAGAAGTTGTTCAGTACCAACTCAGACTCAGTATCATACTCACTAAGATTTGTGTGCAAATGCAGACCTTAATGGAAAGCCAAATCGCTGACTGAAACCTCTGTTGTTTTTCTTATTTAAATGAGCTTGATTTGTTTTCCTATGTATTCACAGGCTCTTAAAATACGAGAGCGCTGCAATTGCCCATCTCTTTCTGGACCAGATCCTCGCCTCATTTTCAGACTTAACATGCAACATCTCCTGGAATCATCTAAAGATGAAGAAACCCCAAATTCTACAAAGCGAGCTCTCTCAAAACCAAACCTGAATTTTCCTCACACTCAAAAAGTGGAAGATACGCCAGTAACTTTTGCAGTTAAACGTACAAACTAATGATAATGATTGTCACTTTTTATGACACTTGTTATCCCTGAAGGTCTAACACAAATTTGTCTTTGAACCATAAAGAAGATGCAGCCACTCATATTCTATGATTCTTTTATGTGATCTCTCACTCAAAGCAATAAGGAACCATGCCCACACAAGAAGAGCAGCGTGTTGGAGCAGAAAGTTTCTTATTCATCAAAAGTTACTAAAATAAATCATTTCTCAGGGGAAAGATAATCTCGTACAATCCAGTCACAGAGTGTAATTTTCAGCTTTATCAGGCTCACCTTGATCAGAGGACAGATGAGCCAGAAGCGTCCCTAAAGCAGAGGAAAAAAAAGTACAATTTTCATCACTTGTCTGGTTTGTCTTGCTGTAATTTGGGTAGATCTGTGCAGCTTCATTTGAGAAATAATGAGAAGAGCTTACTGCCTGTTTCACATATAGTATGTTTAAAAATATTAAGCTGAGATGTGGTAATAGCCTATGGGCTAGATACACCCCCACTTAATTAGGTGGATTTACTGCTGGGATTTTTCTTCTTTCTAAGGCATTTTAGAATATGGATTGATTCAACATTTCTCTTCAAAGCAACCTGAAAAGGTTGCACAAAGTTCAGTTTAAAAAAGGAGTTAAATAATTTTCAAGGAAGTCTGTCTTCTGAAAAAAACTCCACTGTGTAAGAACCACAGTTTGTAACACTAGAATGCTTTGCAGGGATGGCTATTGTTTTTTAATGATCAGGGTGCCTCATTGGAGGGCAGTTTTACTGCGATGACATTTGATTTGGATATATCCATTTGGACAGAAGTGATTGCTGATGTGGAAATATATTATGTAGTATACAAATACAGCAAGATTCCTTGACTGCACAGCTTTTACAGCTGTACCTTATCCTAAAAGGTGACTTCTGTTCAGGAAACGGGCATCTAATGCTGACCATCCCTCCCTCCCCCAAATCCCTCTGAAGCCACCCATTTTATACCATGAAGACCAGTATGCACAATGTAGGTAAAGCTCTGCCTTTTTTGTTGGACTAGCCAGCATAGCTAGGATGTTAATCTTCATTTGCAACTGTTTGAGTTATCCTTGCTGTGCAGTTGATGAAGGTATTGAAATGGTGATCTTGCAGGAAGACATAGAAAGAGGCAGCAGTGAATGAAAATGAAAAAGGGAAATCCCGTTCCTTTATCTGTGAAGATGTACTTGCTATTAGGTTTTTTTGTTACTTGTATTAAAACAAAAATCTGTTTCATGTATGCTAGGGTTTTACCTGAAGGGGACATTCAAAATATTTTACAGTGTATTGTATTTTGAAACATTCTTTTTTTATATATGGAGAGGGACAGACTTTATCATATTTCTTCAATTAAAGCCGAATGCAAGCTTTTAAAAAGGAAAAAATAACCTATTCAGTGCTGTCAGTGAATATAGATTGTGAAACAAGTAATTCCTTTACTGATTTCAGTCAACGGACCGGAGTCCTTTGAGAAACACCAGCAACTACCTAACTTATTTGTCTTCAGAGGTAAGTTGATGCATCTGTAATGTTGATGATTCTGGTTCTGATTATATAGGTCTAGATTGGCTGCTTATTATTTACAGGCTGTTCTTAAATCTCTGCTCAGTACTCCTGGCAAGAGGCAGAAGGTCCAGCCTGATCATTATTCATCCATCCATTTTTATTCTTAGTGACAGGAGTTTTTGTAACAGACGTTCAGTGATGTGTTGAAGCATTTGGACATTGTCACCTGAAGGTAAACAGAAAAATACACCATTTAGATTTCCCTGTGGACCTTATAGTTTATACTGCAACACCAAGACCCCAACGCTGCTGCCTCTCTCTCGCTCCAGTGTCAAAGCTTGTTTTCTTATCCAGGGCTCCTGGTTGACATGCAGCTTGATGCTTGTGTCTGTCAGGACTAAGGAGAATATAGAAGAATTTTTATAGCATTCAAGATGAAGTATGAAACTACACAAGTTTCATATTTCTACTCTCTGTTTTAAGTGGCTTAAGTATTACAGTGGAATGCTGGAGATTCAATTCTTAAGCTCACCAAGGGAGTTTGTTTTTTTAATTTGTATGTAAATGGTCTTGTAACCATGATCATGGTGGTGTGAGAGAAAAGGTTTCAGGGAAGAGGTCATAGCTTATATGAGACCAACAAAGGGCTTATGTACTTTTTCCAACTATACTGGTCTAATAAAACATATCTCTTTCCTTACAAACCTTATATATGCATATACACACATATGTATGTATCTATCTATATATAAGTATACACACAAACACAAGATTGAGGCCTCTACGCTAAAACAGTATAGTTTTAAAGTCTAAAATGGGATGTTGAGAATTTCAGGTTTTATTTTACATCTTGAATTATCTCTAGTATTTTTCTCAAGTGATTTGGGAGGGGTTTCTTCTTTCTGCTTCTCTTGACTGTCCAACACAGAAAATGCCTTGTGCTCATCTGCCTTTCGGAAGGCACTTTTTCCTTAAATTGTTACTGAATACTATACATTACATCTGGCTATATTGTTAAAGTATTTTTCTTTCTTGAACAGAAAAAATATGAAAATGTTGCTTTCCAAAGATTTGGCAAGCCATAGGAAAAATTACACTTTTTAAATTAAAGAACATAAAAATTTTAAGTTGTGTGTGTGTATATATATGACAATATTATATATAAAAACATATTATTAATAATAATTTCAAAATATATCCCTTAGGAAAATACTATGGTTGCAAGCTTTTCATTGCAGAAACTTTCACTGTAGAAACTTTTTATTGCAGTTGTGTACCTTAGTATACCACAGGAAAAATAGATCTAGAAGTGTTGTTGAAGGAATTCAGCACTTGAAAGACGCATGTCATACGAAAGAGAGAATAGTGACTAAAGTGAAAAAAGATAAGATAGATGACTAAAAATGCAACTACATTTCCACCAGTACTGCATGTTGTACTTCACAGCTTCCTGTTGAAAGACTAAATATATCATACAAATTTCACTAAATCTTTTAATGCATTTACTGTAGTGGGAGTATTGAGAGATTTGATGTGGATTCAAGGAGTCCTGTAATAAAAATGGCTCCTTACAACTTTTGGGTTATCAATGTTTACTCTTTTTTTCTTTTCTTTTTTTTTTTTTTTTTAAACTTGAAATACCTAAGTGCTAGGAAAGCAAAGCAAACAGCTGTTAGAATGCTCTTTGTTCTTGAATTCTGTTTGTAGTCATTAAAAGAGAACAATCCTGCAAGCTTGATGCTTTTTTCATATATTATGTAGGCTGCCACAGCTTTTTTTTTTTTCCCCAGTGTGGTGTTTGTATATCAATACCCCTGCTTGAAAAACTATTTCCAATATAACAGTCTGTTGTAAGCCATTTTACTGCCATCAAAATTCTCTCTGCTGAAAATCCTTGTCGTTTTTCCAGATCTTGGGAGCTTTTCAAGGGGGAGCAGGATGATCACAAAGTGTGATTGGTAGTAGAGGCAGCAGGATAAGACTTTCCTGTCAGCGGTACGCTGCGGCTTCTTTAGGTTCCTAATTCATATAGCAGACTATGGTTTAGTCACCCACAGTAAGGACTGATACTAATAACTTGCATTTCTAGATCACTTGAAGCACCTCATAAATACTAGTTAGGTTTTTCCATAATACCTGCACAGGTGAACTTTCTAACAGTTTTACTGGAGATACTGAAGCTCAGTTAAGGTAGTGATTTTAGCAAAGCTTTGCAGAAGATCAGTGAAAAAATCTGGGGCTAGAACTTTGGTGTTCTGAAGCATTCCTTAGCTTAGTATGGCACACTGCGTAATGTCTGTGTGTCTGAAACCAGAGTCCTGGTAGCAAATTGAAGTGATAGGCTTTGGGTGATTGTTACATTTATTCAGTTTGTCACCTTTTGATGTGTATCTGCACAGGTTGGATGTACCTCTTTATGTGTACTTGGCTAAGATGCAGTTGCTTGTTTTGATGTAGTTATTTCTTAACTATTTTATCTTATGCATAAACTGGTTATTGTTTGTTTACTGACCATCATCACTAAGGAGCTGATGACTAAATCTGTTGGTGGTTTTTTAATCTCAAAAAAAGTTTAATCTCGAATTTGTGGTTCACCCCAAAGTCAGGGTTTGTTGTGTATTTACTGTCACATTAGCTGTAAGAAGTTGGCTAGAATTCTTCCTTTCCTGTGCCCCTGCCCCATCTTTTTCTTGTGGTGCAGGTGTCCGCTAGAAGCAGCAAGGGCTGCTGAGAGAGGAATTAGGATAAGCAGAATGGACTCTTAAATAAGTCAAATAAAAGATGGAGTGGAATGTTCTGCCTGTGATAACTTTATTGCTGGGGTTGGTGATTGTTGGCAGATCCGTAAAGAGAACTGACTGAGTGTCTCTGGTGTCCCTCATTGCTGCCTACACATATTGCAGGCATCCAGTAAACGTGCTGTTTGATCTCAGGGAGCCTAAGGCTACATGCCAAATACAGGCCTAGCATAATATTCCTGGCTACCTTGTTCTGGCTATGCTGGTTAAAGGCTGCTGTTCTCAGTACGAGCCAGGGGCTCTTACCCTGATTTATGAATGGATGCAGAGAATTGTTATCTACAGCACATAAATTCATTATAACTATTAAACTAAGCTGAAATTGAACCTGTTGACCTGGAAGTGAATGGCTCCATAACATTTCATTAATCCTTGGAGATGTTTTAATTCCTGCTAATTTGATATTTCAGATACAATCTTCTCTACAGATATAATGGCTTAATTAGTATACATTACATGATGTCTCTTCACACTACAGCATGTACAGTATTTATCCACTAGAAAAGTAATTCAGTAGAGCTCAATTATAATACATTGACTAGAGCATAAAAGTTGAAAAGGATATGTGCAGCAGTCATTATATTTTAAGCATAAACATTTTTCAAGCAGTCTTCTATTTGTTGATATCTATCACCTTCTAAAAATGATGTTCCTAAACCTTTTGTTACAGCTTACTAAAATGTTTCAATTTAAAATGGGATTCTGACAATACTGGATTAATTAGGAAATCATAACCAACATTTAGTGGGACAACAGTTGATAGAAAGCTGGTGTGTATCTTAGTCATCTGTAGAATATCCTTAATACAGTCTTCTATTTTGTTGGAGAC